GCAATCCATTCAACTGAAAAGACAGTCTTTTTATAGCGATTGGCCTTAATCAAGAGACTAGGATTCGAGTTTGTAAACACACCTCAAAAATGTTGAGGCAAGCAGCTGCGTCTGTTGGGGAAGTAACCGTGTGATTTGTGACTGACGTTTCGATTGCAATGCTGCCTCTTGATGGGCAGGGGAATGGGTGCTTGATTCCTTTATAATCTGTGGTAATCAACAGCATAATTTGGGATCATTGCGACTGATGCAGTTAGGAGATCGAGTTCACATACGACGCCAAGCACCTTCCAACTGCCGAAGTTTCGAGACCACTTTATTTGAAGTGTCATATCATGTCTTACATCCGCTTTGACAAGGTATTTCTGCTTCAGCTCGTTGGACGCACACATGCATAATATCAGGTCTGATCTCTTCCCTTCATTCTGCTCCTAGTCCCCCATCCGACCAACTTATCTCACATTCAGCGTCGAACGCAAAGACAAAGAGGAATGAGGTGGTGGCCGGCAGTTCAAGCATTTACGTCATGTTCTGCACGAAGTTCCTGAATTCGGGACCACCATAGTTTTCAAATAGACGCCTGTTCTTTCAGCGCAGACAATGCACATTCCAATAGGACGAATTTTACTCCAACAGGACTACCAAAACCTCTCGCTGGGGATGCGCAAACGCAATACTGGCATCGAAGGCTAGGATGAATCCTTCTCGAGCACAAGGTCACAGTCCATTTTTGAACCTGTGTTTCATCGTTCAACATGCTCAAGGCTGTGAAATGAGGCTAGCTTTCAATAATTTCTTACCAAACGCGGATGTAGCTACCAGCAGCCTGCATGTTGAGGATCGCAAATTAAAACCCCTTTTCCTCATTCGGCCCAGTGAAACACGAAGCTGCAAAGCTATGTGATGTTATTTTACCGGATGCGAGAATGTGTGCTTCCACCCACTTGGGTGAAGCAAGACGCGAGAACGGTGTGAGCTACCCGGTAAAGTCATAAGTGGGAGAAGTAGCGGTCAACTACATCAATTCTAATGAGAAAGTT